GCCTAAAAATCCACAAGCATGTATTGGAAAAAATGAAAAAAATATTTTTGGTTCATGCTGCGTGTTCTAGTGTTTTGTTTCCGGGAATTATAAACGTCATGCTTCATCACCGGTAATAATGTCCAAATTCTCTGAAGGATTCAAAATCGAGAATGATACTTGAAACTGGCATTATTTTTTTTATCATCAATCAAAATACGAGGAAACATCGTTGAGAAAACTTTCTAATTCAGGAATCCCATGTGAATATGTCACACACTTTAGCTTTGCTTACAGTTAATCTGATATCAATTTCAAACTTAAAAGTCAGTATGAGTGCAGAAATTTCGCACGTTTTTCTTTTTGTTGTCATCTTTGTTCTTCTCTGCATCATCTCACTCTCCCCCTGGGACGAATGTGCTATAATGTCTTGCAAAATCTACACAATATTTTCACCATAAACAATTTGAATAGGGGTGATATCTCTCAAACAACTTTTTCCTTCTTTAGACAAAACATTATCTTCAAAATCTGCTGCAGATCACCTTTTACTCAAATTCTATAAACACTACAAAATGAACATAAACAACGGCCTCTAATGCTCGGCAAAACGAAAGATTCCTCTGATTTGTGTCCCTAGAATGCGGAAGTAGATAGATGTTCTAATGAGTTCATTTTTAACAAAATAGATGTATGATTCATCACACCAGTAAAAACCTGGGGTATTCTGCCAAATAAATTGATAAGCCTCTTAATTTGATAATTTCCATTTTCAAAGTTATTCCTGTTTGGACTCGAAAAGGAAATCCTACAAAATTTGAAAATCTGAAAACTTACCAATGAAAAATAACATTATTTGGACTAAGAACTTATTAGCACCTACTAATGACATACTGACCATTAGAATTTCGGAACCTTTTGTAAGCGTAACATCTACATCAAATCCATGACAAAATTATTTAACAGAAAAGTAACTGGCAAACATAAAACTGGTTTATGAATTTGAACAATTGTATCAAATGAAATACATTCGTCAAACATCGATACATATTTAAATAAAACAAAAAATATGTGAGATTAAGCGTGATCTCTTGCAAGACAATACGCGTCATGCATTTGTTGATTCATCACAAAAGATGTAAACATAATTTGGATTTACGAATGTGTTTCTGAGAAGGAGAAATTATTTTTATGCAGACCATAATATATTGAAAGTGCACTAATATCAGAATTCATTAAAATGCATTTATGTCCTGTTCATAAAAGATATATATCTTCCTAAAAAAATCGATTAAAATGTGGTATAATTAAAACAAATAATGATATACCTAAAATCGATAAAGTTCTATGTGACATATTTTTACATATAATATTTTTGCGTGCAATAAAAAATATTTGTCTAAAATTTGTCTAAAATAGCCACTTCTCGGAACGAAACAAGTCATTATAATTTTACTCCTGACATTATTACGCATACATAAATACATACATACATACATGTATATATATATATATATATATATATATATATATATATATATATATATATATATATATATATGTATCTGATAAAATTATAAATTTATACATATATATATATATATATATATATATTATTTATTGTTTTATATATATATATAATATATATATATATATATATATAAAGAAAAGAACAGTAAGATATATAATCCGCTGTTCTTATAGATATTTTATTTTACAAAATAGTTGCTCAATGTAAATTTATAGAGACATTAATATTATAAATTAATTCATTTGAAAATATTTTTCGCTACACAGTTCTAACCATGTTTCAAAAATGGAATCTAAAAGCCCCGAATTTTATTTTGTAATTAAATTAAAGATATTAGTTCCATTTCATTCTCAAGGAATTTGGATTATGTAAATTTACAGAGCATGAGGATGAAATGGAACTAATGTCTTTAAATTAATTACAAAAATTAAATGGTTATAACTGTAGCGGAAAAAAAAATATTTTAAATCGATTAATTTACTGCCATAATTCCCAATCGCTTTAAGACTAGTATTCGTCGAAACAATGACAATTGTGCAGGATGTTTTCACTTTGTTTTTAAATCATTATATATATATATATATATATGTGTGTGTGTGTGTGTAAACCAGTGCCTGTTGATTAGTAACATACAAGACAATTAATGTTATGTGCAATGTAAAAAATGAGGACATTATAAAATCTATATTTTATGAAATCAATGTTTAAAATATGTTCCACAAAACGAACAATTAAATCTCATTAGTCTCTACTCCGTTTGTTTGAATTACATTAGAAGTTACTGACGTTTTCATGAACAACTCTCATAATATTTTATCAATGTAAGTTAATATATAATTATTTTCTTTGTGAAGTTACGTCGGGTGTAAATACCATAAAATAAGATTATTTTTCTTGAAAAATGTAAAATTAATTTTAGGCAAGTAAAATAGTTTGTATATTCTTTTCATGTTTAATATCATTTTTGCCATTCAGAATTAACTTGGATGACAATAAATATGTGATTTCTAGCAGGAAAAAAAAACCTTTCAGATTCTAAACTCAAAATATAATTTAGCTACTATAAAATATTGGATTAACTAATGTATTTTTACTATTGCTATTTAATTCCTTATCATTTAAATATTGTTATAGCACATATACAACATTACTAATACTCACCTCACTTCAGAATATTTCTTATAGCACATATATATCTTATATGGTCCTACTAATAAATAAAAACAAATAAACTGTTACCTAGTAGCTTATTTCCTAGATGATACATTGATTTGCAGACTATTTTAAAATATATTATAATTATTAAACACACACGTATATATGCATCTCTCTTTTCTCTCTACGAAACCACACACACACACACACACACACACACACACACACACATTCAGATTTATATATATATATATATATATTAGCGTTTATATATGTTTTAAATCTTATCAATTCATTCGATAGAAAGAAAAATGAAACTGTCTGAAATAAATGAATGAATGTGAACAAGTACAAGGTGAATGCTAGAAATGAAATGAAATGAACAGCAGAAGATATGTTGATATATAGATGTAAAAATAGAAGATAGTGCTGAAACTGAGATGACGTATCAAATTTATTATATTGCCTTATATATATATATATATGTATATATATATATATATATATATAAATATTAATTTAGCATGGTATATATGTTTAAATATACATCACATTCATATTCATTATTAGAAGTGTGATATTAAAGTATAGATAGATAAGTATAGATCGATATGATAATGTAAATAGGTAGATATGAATATAAAGATATGTTGATATATAGATATTAAAATAGATAAATTGAAATTGCAGTTAGATAGTAAATGAATATATATATATATATATATATATATATATATATATATATATATAGAGAGAGAGAGAGAGAGATAAAGAAATTTAGAGATATAACAAATGAAAGTGAGACATGATATCGAAGATACATAGAAATGAGAAGGATGTTTAATAGAATGAGCAAATTAGCTTCTTGCGTGATTTTGCTTGATAGAAAAGTGTTATCCAATTCCACTTTTTCATTATCTTTTGCTTCCATGACATATTATAATTAGTTTCATCATAAACCGCGAAAGTGTTATTTGCTTTCGACGACGGCATAAACATAAATGTAAAACGACAATATTGAATACCATACTGTAAAACGTACTGATTAATTTGGAAGCTTTCATCACCAGTTACATTTCCGTATTCACTTAACTCGAAAATTGGTTGATTTATTTCAGAGAAATGAAACAATTTGAAATAGCTTCCCTCTTTGCTACCCCAACTCTATGCGCAGTACTCGAATGGAAGCTCGTTCTGATATGTTTACTGAAAAAATTGCTATTTACAAGCGTATTTTCTATGATAATTATTTGTTTTCGCACTTTTCACTTGTGGAAATCTTGGCGTCTTGCTTTTATGTCAACTACAACATTCAACAATTTAAATGACCCGTTAGTCGTCAACTTCCCTCTCATTTAATCTTGGACATTAATTATCTTCTCTCTTCTCAGTGTTTTGTCCATTTCTCTCACTCTTTGTGTCACCTTATCTTCTTAGTTGCCTCATTGCTTTTCTTTGCAACAATTAACAAAAGGAAATTAATATTGTTAAGTATCTTCGAATTGATTTTTATTCACTTTATCTTAATTAGAAAATCGACTGGAATTCAAATCCTCAATCAAGCCATCCATTACTCCAGCATGACTCCTCGAATCCATTACATTCGTGCCTAATACCCTTGGGAAGGCGTGAATCCTCTTTCTTCTCCCCAGCTATGGGTAAAGGGACAGACTGGGTTCTATAGCCTGGTCTGGGAGAAAGAAAACACTGAATTAAAACCTGTGGGGTCGTTTGAGATTGGCACGTGGTGCACCAGGTCTCTGTAATCAAGCCACTTCAAAGTGGATGGTCCTGTACAAACCTTCTGCTATAATCAAATCTCATGTGCTATACATGGGTTGGTTCCAAATTCCCATGAAACTCCAATATTTGAGCCGGCTCAACCCAGCTCGGGTGAATGCCGTTACAAGAACAAGCGAGAGAAGAATTAGAAAATCACAGATACGATCAACATATTTATAAAGTGCCTTTCTTACTCATTCTGTTTTATTGCTGATTTATACATGCCATAAGAATTTGAATCTACAATAAATGGTTATGTAACAGAGATTAATCTAGATTTCAGAAGGTGTGTCAAGTTAATCCTTTGACCGCATGAACAGCTGTATAATCCATCTGTTAGAATATATAAGCAAAGGGTTTAGTGTGTAAATGAACGCTTCCCTTTGCCCTGTTCTGCATATCTTAGAGGTCTTAAGAATATATTCACTATTCATCTGGTAACGTAAGAGAAAATCATTATTTCATCTTGAAATAAATGTTCACAATCCAATTTCTGTTTAATAGAGGATGTAATAAAATATTAAACAGTTGTGAATGCATGAGCAGATTGCAATTATTGTACGATATTGGCCGGCAAAAGGATACACCTGGGCTGTTGATTTGATGAAGGAAAAGAAAGAAAGAAAGAAAGAAATAATTGGAATACTGCCTTAGATAAAGCAGTGCCGAGAAGACACGTTAAAGAAAAACAGAAAGTGAGGCGGAATGTGAAACAGATATATATGTGAGAACTGGAGATAAATAAATAAAAAAAAAACAAAGCAAAAAAGAAGAAAGAAAGAAAGAAAGACAAATGAGCAGAAAGAAAGAAAGAAAGAAAGAATGAAAGAAAGAAAGAAAGACAAATGAGCAGAAAGAAAGAAAGAAAGAAAGAAAGAAAGAAAGAAAGAAAGAAAGACAAATGAGCAGAAAGAAAGAAAGAAAGAAAGAAAGAAAGAAAGACAAATGAGCAGAAAGAAAGAGCAGAAACAAAGAAAGAAAAAAGAAAAGAAAATGAAAAAGAAAGAAAGAAAAGAATAAAGAAAAACATTAAAAAGAAAAATCAAAGGAAAAAAAAGAAAAGACAAATGAGCAGAAAGAAAGAAAGAAAGAAAGAAAGAAAGAAAGAAAGAAAGAAAGAAAATGGAATAAACAAAAGAAAAAAGAAAGAAAAGAAACAAATCTCTAACTGTGAATAAATAATAACATTAAAGAGCATCAGGGAAAATACGGCGAGGTGCATTCAAATACAAAGAAAGAAAGAAAGAAAGAAAGAAAGAAAGAAAGAAAGAAAGAATCAAACAAACAAAGACAAAGAGAAATATGTTAGAGAACACGACAGAAAGAAAGAAAAAAGAATGTAAAAAAAAAAGAATGTATAAAATAAAAAGGCAGGAGAAAGAAAAATGCACAAGGGAGGAGAAAGAAAGAAAGAAAGAAAGAAAGAAAGAAAGAAAGAAAGAAAGAAAGAAAGGTGACAGTGATTAGAAAATTAATGAAAAGGCTGAAAGAAATTTTGGAAATGGGAAAAATAAAGATTGAAAAGATGAAAGAACAAAAGAAAATAAAAAAAAGGATGCAAATATATTGAGAAAGAAAGTATCGTGAAAGAAAGAAATCGGTTTAACTGCAGGAAAGAGCAACAAAAAAACAAAACAAAAAAAAAAAACAAAAAAAAAAAAACGGCAAATGAAAAACGAAAATTAAGAAAACAACGGAAAAATTAATAACAGAGAAAAGATGCTGGGAAATTATAAACTTCAGAGATGAACTGAAACGAAAATTAAAATGTGAAATACGACACATTGCGATATGAAGAAAAGGCGAGTAGGCGAGGAAATATCTTGTACAAAGGTACTACAACCTTAATCATGGCTAACAATTAGCACTAAACTATTAGATCACTTCAGTAATATAGGGTGTTCGGAAAGTCACTATTAGTTTTATTAGCTGACATGATTCAATATAGAATACAGGGGAGACTATGAATGAAAATTATAAACAATGTCGAAAATTACGCCCAGTAGCATCAATACAGGCTTGGATTCATCTTATAGTTTCTGAACACCGCTATTAGTTGCTCGCTTGAAATAGACCTAAATTAACACTGTTATCACTGCTTTCAAGTCACCCAGCCTGGATAGACGGTTTCGATACACTATAAAATTTAATTCTTCCCAGATGTTGCTGGTGGATTTAGATCTGGCGAATGTGAGGGATACGCATCTTTAGAAATAATGCGGTTTGCAAAAATGTTCTCCCAAGATTGTATACATCTATGAGATGAGTGGGGTGTAGCACCGTTCTGTTGAAAGCAAGAGTAATTTCCTCACATGTCATCTGATCGATGAAGGTGGGAAAAATTTCCGAATAATAGAGCTCACTTCTCTATTGGGTTCATAAAAAAATAGGGCTACACATTCGACGTCTTGAAATCGCACCCTAAACTCCAATATTGAGACCATGTAGAGATACTTCATATAAATTCTGAGGATTATATTACGACGGCAATTGCAAATTAAAGTAACCCGAATAATGGTACCAGCGTACATTGGTAAAAAAAAATGTCGCAACAAACACATAAGTTATATAATCTTCGATAAATTCGTTAAATTATCTGCAATAGAACAGTCGCTTTTTATGATCTATTGCTTGCCGTTTTTTAACGCCATTATTTTGTATGAGAAGAGTAATTTTTTGTCTGAATAGTTTCAAGACGAATAACGTCATGCTGTGCTAAATTTGTTAAAGATTTTCTTGGACATTGCTGAATTCTCAGAAATATCAAACAATATCCTTCAATAGCTTTGATGACCTTCCTCTACGTTTGGCATTATACACTGATCCTGCTTCCAAAAAATTACCAATATGTTTAGATCTACAGTTAAGAAATACGGTTTACTGTGTTGAGCGAGTCTCTTTTTCTCTCCGGAATCTATTTAGCTTATCTATACGTCTGCCATTCGTACATTCTTAGAATATTGCTGCTATGTATGGTCCGGTGTCTTTGCTAATTTTCTGGAGGTTCTTGATATGATCCAAAGAAGAATCAGCAATATTATTGGTCCTGATGTGATAAATCGGTCTTAGATTCTTGTCCACCGTCATAAGTTTATCTTTCCGCGTCTTTTTTTATAAATACTTTCATGGTAATTGTTTCGGTGTGATCTTCGATATGGTACCTAGACTGTAAATTTGCGCGCAATACAAGACTAGCGGCAAGATCTCATCAATTTATAGTTGAGTTAGTAAATGTGCCATAACACACACACACACACACACACACACACACACACACACATATATATATATATATATATATATAAATGATAAATTTTTTGGCTTCCATCTTGGTGAATCTGTATATATATTTATTAGTATGCGTGTACGATTGCTTTTATATGCCTTTAATTTCATGTATGCAGTTTCACTATTTCTTTGTGTCGTTGTTTTGCGTGTATATATATCTAAATATATTTACTTGTCTAATATATTATGATGTGAATCTATCTGTCTTTTCATTTGTAAATCTTCTTCCTCTGTCCATCACTGAATTCAGATACCTTGAATACTATCTAAATGGTCACGATGTTTGAATTTCCTTAGATATGCATGTATCTCCGTTACATATATATATATAAGGTTCCATGTAATAAATTATTTGACCACAGCCTTTTAAAAGGGCTCTGGTTAATCAGACTTTTACTTCAAAATGATGAAAAAAAAAAAAAAAAAAAAAATATTTCAACCTTTGGACAAAAATGATACGTCCCCTTTAAAAAGGCTGTGGTCAAATAATTTATTACATGCAACCTAAATGGTCTGTTTTTAAATTAAATATATATATATATATATATATATATATATATATATATATATATTTAAATTTAAATCGTCTGTGTGTACACACATATATGTGTGTGTGTGTGTGTGTATGTATTGTCGTAATAACATTATACAAAATTATGTATATATATATATATATTTAAATCAGTGTGTCCATTTCAACCTCTGAAATAAAGTCTGATGATCCAGAGCCCTTTTAAAAAGGGCTGTGGTCAAATAATTCATTACATGGAACCTTAAAGTGGTCTGTTTTTATTCAAATATATATATATATATATATATATATATATATATATATATATATATATATATATATCAGTGTGTGTGTGTGTGTGTATATATATATATATATTTAAATCTGCGTCTGTGTGTACATATATATATATATATATGTGTGTATATTGTTTCGTATATAAAATTACAAAATTATGTACATATATATATTTAAATCAGTTGTGCATATATATATATATATATATATATATATATATATATGCATATATTCATGTGTGTGTGGAGAGAGACAGACAGAGAGAGAGAGAGGGGGGATCACCAAACCGCAATAACGTTCAAAGAAATAAAAATAAAAATGTTTTAAGAAAAACCAAGTGAAATAGAAAAACGCGTAAGAAAAAAAAAACTCAAGAAAATTAAAACAAAATGAAAAAAATAAAAAAATTGAAAACAACAGATGATTAGGAACCAAAAAAAAATAAATAAATGAAAGTTATTAATGATAAATGTCTTGTGACAATGCGACAGACGCCCAGATCTAAAATAGAATATCACAAAGGCAAGATCTCCTCGCCGAGAAAATTAAATATATTGCAAATTATTTTCTGCAAACCATTTATCAGCAATGATTAGGAAATTAGGTCTCAACGAGATCTGCGCTAACAGCTGCGTTTGGTTTGTTTGTTGTATTAATTTTCACCGAATACAGTACTCGAGAGCCCCTCAAGTAGACAGCGAAGGAATATGGCTTAAATTGAGAAGTAAAAACTGCAGGTTATGAGGATATGTAGAATAGATAATAGTTGATTCTTGTCTTGAAATATTTAGGTCATCGTGATCCACTCGAGGTTTTGTTTCACATGATAGTGGTTTTATGGAATCAGCTGTTTGATTGAATTTTGATTTGATTTGTATGTTTGACGGTATATCATATCCTTAGGGGTCATTTCATGTCGAAATTTAATTTTGCTGTAGATTTGAAGTAATAGAAATCGTATACACGTTATTCCCATTTCACAATTGTATACATGGTCGCCGCTTCTCAACTTTTATGCATGTATATGTTTGTTCGGACATAATAAAGGTGGTAATATATTTCTTTTATGCTGTAGTATGCTTAAGTTATATTTTGGAATAGATTTTGATTTTTGATAAAAGTTTAGCATAATATATGGAATAATGTCTTTCATATTGGTAGCTTGGTTAATTTGTTTAGCAGCATCTAACACTCTTTGGCGAATCTAATTATATGGAACACAATTTCATGCTTTCAACTACAGATAATTTGTACATAAATTTATACTTTCAATATAAATGTATGTTTTATTTAAATAAATATTTTATAGACAGTGAAATGTATCTGTTGGTAAATCTACTACAAAAATGTACTGTTGATTTTTGTTGGAAGGTTTACGATTTGCCCATAGGTGGGAAACTTACTCATGGACATGATGGACCTGGGAAACACCGATAAAGAGGTAGTTCCACGGTCCTCAAAATATCCTGATGAGAGGCTTTCCTGGTAGATGTGGTTCACATTCAAACTCGGTACTACGGTTTGATGGAAACTTCCTTCTGATAAATGGAATAAGAAGAAAATACGTGGACGTCGCATGTCGGCTTTCTGTGTGTAAACGTCTGCGATAGAAGAAATGTAGATCAGCTAAACATTTTATATTGAATTAACAATCGATTAACGATTGTTCAGCAGTTTGTCGTTTGAGGGAAAAGGCTGGGAAATAATCAATCACACACAAGGCCGCAAAAACGAGACAAAACTGTATTAGGAACATCTAGCTTAAATAGGGTAGCAATAACCAAGTATAAGGCAATGTCTACACATACACGTACAGGCACACAGACACACACACACACACACACACACACACACACACACACACACACGCGCGCGCGCGCGCGTGTCAGAGGTAGGGCGTACATAAATATGAAAGTAGACAACGAGGCCAAAACCATGTGGATACTGTTTGATACCTAGTGGCATACAAATTTCATAGCTTTAATTTCTTTGCCCGAAGATTGTGTTTAATCATGAAACAATATTCTTGTTCACGTATGAAACAGATATTCACCGCTTGTTGCTGACCTAAGTGTTCACTTTTACAAAAACACACATGCGTGGCTGTGTGTATACATATATATATATATATATATATTATTTATTTAAAAATATGATTCCAAATCATATATTTTAAATAAAAATTTTTTAAATAAATAATTAAATAAATATATTATATTTATATATATACTATTTTAAAAATAATAACTAAAATACTAAACATTGGATTATTTACAAATTCCTTCCTAAAATTTTTTTATAATATAATATTTTATATATATATATAATATATATATATATAAATATATAAATTAAAGACATATTTTTATGTTTAACTTTTTTTTATAGATACAAGTATTTAATTTTTATGATAAACAGTATTAAAATTTACTAAAGGGACATTGGACCTTGTCTTACCTAACCGCTCAACGTTCCTTGACTATTTTCGAATCCTACTATAAGAACTAAAATTTTCTATGAAAATATATATATATATATATTATTTAATATTTTAACATAAAAAATATTTGCTCTTTTATAAATAAATTATCGGATATTTCTTAATATATATATATATATAATGTACTTTTTTATGTTTAATTCTTTTTTATAGATACAAGTATTTAAATAAATGTCTGTTTATAATAAACAGTATTAAATAACATTTACCGGCCTGAATGTCGAGAAATTTTTTTCATAAAATATTCGTCCCTTTG